GTGTCGGGCGGGGCCGCTGTGCCGGGCGAGACTCGCCCCCACCTCTGCGTCCCCGAGTTCACCGGGTTGGGCTAACTCGGGGCCCCGGGGCTGCCGAGGGAAAGTTTAGGTCTCCGTTATTTAATAGCGCCTTTCCCCTCGGGACGGACGGCCCTCTTTATGCGGGGATCTCGAGAGCTCTTGGAGTCGATTTCGCCACCATTATCCCAACGGGCGATCGTGGAGTAGAAGGATGGCTCTCTGGCCAGGCCGAAGGTGCTTTCACACCCGAGGCTTTGTGATAGCCGCACTCAAACCAGGGATCCGAGCAGCTGGGTTGGTGGCGGGAGTGTGAGGAACGGAAGGTACAAGATCGCCAGAACGAGCAGCTAGCCCACCAGCATCCTCTTTTATTTTTGTTTTTGGAAGGGGGTGTGAAATATTTGATTGGTTGGCAGGTTGAATTGCTTGCCCGCCTGTAGCAATATGCATAGTGACTTACTACCTTTTGCCTTTGGAGAAAGATAAATGGAAACTGTTGGTCAGGGTTTTTTTTTTTCTTTTCAGTTCTGCCATTGAGTTCACCGATGGAGTAATCAAAATAAGAATCACCCGTTTGGAGGTGCAAATCGTGGTGGTTGTCTCCCAACCCCCACCTATCTTACTTTCTGCCGTTTTAGAATTGATTTTAATTCATTTATTCCTAAGATTTTTGCCTCACCTTTAGTTTTAGATTCTGTGGTATTTGCGCAAATAACATTTGCTACTCAAGAATGAAGAGTGGGAACTTGCTCTTGTTGCAGAGTTAATGATATCAGGAAAATAAAAAGATCAAAAGCGTAGGGTGGAAGAATGAAGAGGAATGTAGGCTGATAAACTAGGACCATTCACTGCTTTTTGGCAATTCTTATTTCCTTAAACTCATTAAAACAATGTGATTAAATTGTATACCACTTCTGTTTTTTAGGAGGATGTAATAAGTTGGGTATTTTAGGTAGCACCATAGTGTTTATTTTCAAAGTTTGGACGTGACTGTAAAAAGCATGCTTTTTACTAAAAATTTCAGTGGGACAACTGTTTATATTGGCTAAAGAACAGAAACAGGGCCACAGAAATGAAAGGCTTGGGAATGCTAAAAGTCAAGAGGTTTAACAATTATTGTGGTAATCCTGTGTTTTGTTTTAGTTGGTATAAAATCGTGAGTAGTTTATATCCTGGTGCTCAAAATGGTGGCTGTTGTGGGAGGTGTTGCCTGCGACGATGCCATCTTGGGTGCTGGTAAACTTGCCTCCACCCCATTTTCTTCCTTGCAAGATAATTAAACAGGTGATTTTTAAGGTCTCATTCTACAAACTACTGTGGAAAAACTCATCTTTCAAAATCCATATATTCCCAGTTTGTTGATGGAAAAATAGAGGTAACTAATTTTGCCTTAAGTAGTTGTTGCAGATATCCAGTGTAATCTGTAAATAACTTATGTTCTAAGAAATAAATTTGTGGTTTCTAAGCACTGTCTGGTTTAATTCCTAAAGGAAATGTAAGCTGATCAAAGAGGTAAAATTTGTATGTATAATAAAAGAAAAATCAGTTACAGGTGAGTAATGAGGCTATTTGAGATGACTTTTTCTGGGAAATGACACTTGTTGGTAAAGTGTATGCTATATGAAATAGATGCAACAGGAATGAATATTTGGACTCCATTTTGGTAACTATTCATACCTGTTTTTATTTGGAGATGTTCAGTAGATGGATAACAAGTGATAGTGACTTTTTACTCTGCAGTTCTTGTATAATCCTGATTTCTCATGTAAAGTGTGTTTTGAAATGGTTAATGTAAAATTTAACTTAAAGTTTTCAGTAGTTACCAGAAATTAAAAATTAAAATTTTATTTTTAGGCTTCTAGCAAAGTGGACTCAGTGACAGTGCAGAACTCATCGAAAACACTGTTATCAGTTTTGATTCTCTAAGTATAAATAAATTTATTTTAATTTTGCTTAGGTGATTTTTTTAACCTAATCGTTCATTGTCCTGAGAATTCAAGAAAGAATCCCTTGGTTAGAATTTGATGCATTGGAAGACTCTTCTTTTAAAAAAAAGAAAACAATTCTAATGCTGAGTTGTACCTTGTTAGGCCAACTGAAAAGGCCCTACAGTTTTAATTTATGGCAACCTTAAAAGATAGAAGTGATGACTAGTACTAGTACCAAGTGGTAGAAGTTGGATATCAGCTTTTAGGTAGCCAGTTTTCACCTGTGGGAAAGATCTCATTTTTACCTTGGAGACCACCAAGCTGAGCCCATGGATTTATAAAAAATTTAGGAAGCCGAATCCTCAAGGACTTGGCTTCTATTTAAAGTGAAATAATCTTTTAGAGAGTGAAGGGCTGGCAGGATTCTTGATGCAATTCTGCAAGAGGTCAAGACCTCCCACTTAGAGAACTGGTCCCCAAAGCATGGATATTATTTTTGCATGTAAAAAAACTTTGTTAATCAACCTTGAATGTATAGGATTTCTTCAGAAGAGTCAATATTCTTGATTCTTGTTTTGGGGATATGTTTAAGGCCCTGTATGTTGCTGCCCACCCCCCAAATTGGTGTTCTGTAATCATCAGATAAAAAACCTGAATGTATAGGTAATGCTTTAAGTTGCTCAAAATTTCTGGTTTTAATAATAATACATATACATATATAAAACTTGAAAATTAAAGCAAAATATAGGTAATGTAATTAAAGCCACCATAATCCCACCACTCAGAGATAAAAGCTGTTAACATTAGACCCCACCACTCGGATAAAAACTATTAATTGTAAACAAATTAAGAGATCACCAAATATTCTCACAATGTATTTGTGTCATATCAGGTGTTCTTTTTATTTTTCAGGTGAAGCTATTGAGGTATAGTTGGACAACAGTGGATTAATGACACTGCATTCAGTAGTTGGTATTGATTTTCCCAAAGATTTAATACTGATTTTTCTTTTTCCTAGCCAGATTATTTTTACAGTGAATATATAGTGTGTGTTAATTGACCGAAGTAAGGTAGGGGAGGATAGAGTCATTTTAAATAATCTGCTCTGGAGTTAATCATGATGGGTGTGGGGTTGGGAGCAGAAATTTCATCACATTTTCCACGTTTCTCTTCTAGAGAGGAGACCTTGGTGTCTCTAGGTGACTATTTGAAAATGGTCATGTAAAATTATCTGAATGGTGTGTATATAGTATAGCATCATGATAAAAATAATCTCGTCTTGTCTACTTTTTTTCCTGAGCTTCCTGCCTTTGAGTACTGAAACCTTTGCTTTCTTTGTATCTCCTTCCTGGTTGTGGTTGTGTGTGATTAAAGTCCTCAATTAGCATGATGATCTGGGGGAAGTATCTTTTCTTCAGATTCTGAATTCTACTCTTGGTGTTTCCTTGGATCCAACCTCTTAGTTAAGACCACCAAGGCATGAATTATGCATGAAAATAAGGAATAAAAATTGCTGAGGGTACATCAGTCATATCAGTGGTTCCTAAGCGTGAGGCCTGTGGATGGGCTATAGGAGTTTTGTGTTGGGGGGTGTGTGTGTGTATGTGTATACACATACACACACACACATATACACACATTGCTGGAGGAGAGAGGCTATTGCTTTCATCAAATTCTGAAAAGGGTCCCCAGCCATACAAAGGTTAAGAGGCCTTGAACTACATGAAAGAATTAAGTTGGCCCTGAATAGGAGAATTGGAAGCCTAGTTTCATGACACAAGATGCACTGGATAAGGAGTTAGGAAACTTGAACTCTTATTATAATTGTGCAGGTCACAATACCCTAGTGATAAATGACACTTGTATAGTAGCACTTTGTACATTTTCCAAAAGTTACCTCATTTTATCCTTAGCCATCCTTAACCATCACTATGAGGTAGGAGTTATCTTAATTTTACAGATGAAGAAAATGAAAGTTTAGAGAGGCTAAGTTGCTTGCACACAGGCTTTCACCTGGATCTCAGGTTCTTTAATACCAAAATCTATGCTGTTGCTACTACCTTACACTGTTTCTACTTCAGTTTTTATTATTTATAAAATGATGGGCTAGACCTAAGTAATGATCAAGATTCCACAGTGCAAATCTAGAGTTCTTTGGTTCTTAATAATGTGGGATACAGAAGATTGTTTTAAAGCTAATGCTTAATTTAATACAGAAGAACAAGTTCACAATTTTGTTTGTTTCAGCAAATATTTATTTAGCATTTACTATGTGCTAGGCATAGTGTACTAGGTGCTGAAAATACAGATGTGAACATAACATGGAAATACTTGCCCTCTTTTTAGCAAGAGACCGACACTAAACAAATTGTATCTCAGAGGGTGACAAGAAATCAAGTAAGGTAGAGGCATAGCCAAGTTGAGGGGGTGGGTTGTTGCAATTTAAAATAGGGTGATAAAGCTAGGCCGGGCATGGCTCAGCGGTTGAGTGTTGACCTAGCATCCAGGAGATAACAGTTTGATTCCCAGTCAGGGCACATGCTGGGGTTGCAGGCTCTATCGCCAGTTGGGGGCGTGCAGGGGGCAGCTGATCAATGATAAGTCTCTCATCATTGGTATTTCTGTCTGTTTTCCTTTCCTTCTTCTCTCTGAAGTCAATAAAGATATATTTTAAAAATAAAATAGGGTGATAAGGTGTTGCCT